TACAACCCGCGTGCAGTCAGGCTGGCTCTTTTTAAGACAAAACCAAAGGCTTGCCATTGACTGCTTTACTCTCACACCTCCTTAGGTCCATCTTACGGATTCTCAGCACACTTCGGTGTCATGTAACAAACATTTCCACCTATTTGCAAACAGCTGACACAGCACCTAGAGAGAAGGGAACTGCCTTAAAAAGGAATTAAGCTGTTTTTCAGAATTCCGATATGTCACCGCATCATTATTTAACCCCCATGGTTTGCAGAATAAGAGACTGCAAGATATATTGTCATCTTCTCAAAATAGAATGTGTCAGATATTAATTATATTGAAACAGAGAATATTAATCTTTTCCGACTAAATACAAGACACATATATGTTGCTCTAAATACTGGATCAGTTTTCTACATTTAATTTTTTTCTTATTTTTTTTCTGTTTTTCATAATCGGAACTCATTGACTAAGTAGTAGAGTGGCCTTCATGGATAAAATAAAATATATCTTTTATTAAATAGATTAAATAGGTTCTAAAGCTAGGCTATAAAAAGATACACAATGGGACGTATTTACTAAATTGGAAATGGAGAAGTACTGTAGAGGAATTAGCAAATTCGCCATGATGAAAACATTATCTAACTAAGCAATTTTCCTACATTGGGTATTTTGACCCCAAATTTCCAATCGCCTTGTTAATTCCATGTTACCATCTGCTAAGTGTTATTTTTGTATCTTTTAATAATTTATGATGGATTGTATTAAACGGACGTTTAGGGGGAATTGCTTTCTGAACTTTAAACCATTTGAGAATTCCTGTACCAAGCACATTATACAATTAATAGTGTCAATTATTAAATGACAGAGATCACTAGAGGCGTTGTTACAGCCAAGAAAGTTTGCCTTTTTAATGCTTGCACCCCTTCAGCCAAGCATAGCTCGTGAGGGCTAGATTTTTCTTTGACATATAAATCTTCATCAAGCATTATTAAGAGGCTGCAATTCCTACACTTAAAGGAAGGGATCGATGCCTGTTCTCTCCTTTCAGAGAAACTTGTTCACCACTGGGGGATGATAAGCAAAGTATAGTGAACACAAAATTAGATTTTAGCTAGAAACATAGACTTGCATTTTTTTTTCCCTCTGACGCTTGTCAAACAAGCCTAGAACTGTTAACCCATTCTCCCATTTAGCAATGTTGCAAGCCACCTTTTACGAAACAACTGCCTTGTTTAGTCTTATATGCGGCTGATTCATCAACATGTCTAAACATCACACTGACTGATTTATTTATTCCGCTCGAGTGACACTTTCTAACGTGATCTGATTTGACACAAAGCAGCGAATATGCCTTTAAATGATATTTTTTTTATATATCTGTCTTGTTAATATTTCTAAGCATTCACCCATCTATCCATCCATTTACTTTTGTAGCTATAATCAGTTTGATCGTAGTGTACATCTGACGTGTTTTTTCTTTTAATACAATTAACATCAAGCACATGTTACACACACAACAATTTTTTAATCAAATGTTTTTTAAACTGATGAAATATTAGATATTTGTAGTTAAATAATTCATGGGACAATTGGAAGAAGAAAAAAAATTGAAGATCCCCGAATGAAATAATGCTTCTTACCTTTTCATTAATTTTAATATTTATTGATATTTTTGTTTGTATCCATTATTTTCTTCATCTTGGTGTGGGCCTCATCAGCATGAGGATTTGCTGAGTTTTGTGTAGAAGCTGATAAAAAAAAAAACATATTCTCCCGGGGACAGCAAAAATGTCTATGTGCAAGACTAAATTGAAATCAAGGTTTGTAATAAAATGGCTTAATATGCAGATCAAGTATAACGTGAAATGTTTTTTGTCAATCCAGAAAATGCTTGCACTGCAAATGTTTCTATGATCCAATCTATTCACATACAAAGCAATCACACGCTTAAGAACAGTAGAGTTTCAACACAAACTAATTTCACTTTGGAATGATACCAAGACATTCATATATTGCTTGATTACAAAGCCAAAATTCAAGTCAAGCCACCTCTTTGCTCTTTATTTCTAAACTTGAATTCTAATCACGACCTCTCGAAGTCTAGCATACACTTCTTACTTAACATGAAGAAAGGGCACGTTGGATTGGAAGGGTTAAAAGAGATTAGTATTCAGCTATTCTGAACATGTTGTAGATCGCTCACTGCAAAATCAGGTTTTGGCTTCCCTTTCATAAAACATTGAACCAGTTCTGGAAATGGTACAGTTGACAAGAATGAAGAAAAAGAGAAAGTATTGCGGGAATATGATTTACCAGAAATAAAGTCATCTTTTGTGGGTCTTGGATGGAGGTCACTAGACTACTTAATTTTCTTCTTACAGTAAGGGCTGTGCTAAGCACATGGCTGGCAGAGAGTGGGAAAGTTTTAGTAGGGAGAATATAAACCTGTCTGTGACTTTGTCACTTAAAATATATATATATTTTAAATTACAATCAGGATAGCTGTGCTCAACTTAAAATATTTAGGAAGACAGACAGACAGACAGAGAGACAGATCAATAGATTCAGGAAAATATCCATGTATATACACACAAATACATATGTATTGTATGATTTGCAATATTACTCACATAATATGTTACAATGACTAATAAAGTCACATGTGTAAGAGACATAGATCTGATTGATAATATATATTATAGATAATAGATAGATAGATAGATAGATAGATAGACGCACGCACACAGATCTGTATACATATATTTATTTTAACAGAAGCACAGTTACTCATATACTTGCTGGTTTATAAATATTAAAATTTTTCCACAAACAGGTAAAAGCCCAATAAAACAAGGCAGAGGGGGTACTCTCAGATTATGTTAAACAGGATACAAGCTGCTTTTTATAGACCTTCCCTCGCCCCCACCTAGGGTTCTGCATGGCTAGGACTGTATCAGTAGTGGCTAGCAGGTCAGACCCTGAGACTCACATAACACCATTACTCTATCAAGGTCCCAGCTGTCCTGATGAGTGTACCCTTGCTTACCTGCTTTGTGAGTTTCCTCAGCCAGTTGGCTCCCTCCTTCTCTGTGTGTCTTTAGCAGGAGATGGTCTCCAGCTTTGTGAGTTTGCGATCTCCTTCCTCAGTGTGCACACACACTGAGCTGTGGATGAGATAAACAGGGGGAGGTAGGGGATTATCTAACAGCCCATCACACTGCAACATACAATGAGAGCAAGTAAACTTTTTTTTTGTATTTTTTTTTTTTTTGGGGCTTTGTGTTGCTTTAAGAAAATAAAAAGTGAAATGTTGCCAGTTTCATTTCCTGTTTAAAGTCTCCTGGTTTCCCACCTTGTTTTCAGGCTGGTGTCAGTCTCTCTGGTGGAGCTCTGATGGGCAGATGGCAGCAGGCTTTAACAGATCTCTGGTCTGCTCCCTACCTCTCCCAACTTAATACTGAGGATTAATCCTCCAGCCATCACTTTCAATCACAAGCGGAGCTTTTATCTCAAGGCATGATCCCTGGCTGCGTAACTTCCTCTGTAGCCTCAAACACCATCCCACGGCCACGGTGGAGCAATGTGCTTCTTAAAGGAGCAGCCGGGGGGAGAGGAGATGGGGAGGAGGAGAGAAGCAGGAGCTGGGCTCAGCAGCAGGCTGTGGGACACCTCCAAGACCCTGAGATCGTCACTGCATGGACATCACCCTGGACTTCTTTTTCAACATCAACCAGGTGGGACAGCTGAGACCTCCTGCAGCTTACTCACTGTATTGACATCACCCTGGACCTCTGACCTCTTCTACAGCACCAAGCAGGTGGGCTAGCTGAGACCTCCTGCAGATCACTGCATGGACATCACCCTGGACCTCTGACCTTTTCTTCAGCACCAAGCAAGAGGGACTGCTGAATCTTCCTGCAGATCACTGCATGAACATCACCCTCCACCTGTGTAACCTCTTCAGCACCAAACAGGTGGGACAGCTGAGACCCCCTGCAGCTCACTCACTCCATGGACATCACCCCGGACCTGAGTCTTCAAAGTCTTACTGAGGACTTTGGGGACCTGCTACCTCAGCATCTCATTATAGGGACATCTCCTAGGACCTCCTTAAGAACTACCGTGTGGACATCCTGTACCATATATGTAGTTCTTCTTCAGCATCAAGTCTTCAGTAACTCACTGTGGACATCATCCTGGACCAGCACAGTGTCCACCTCTTCTTGAGTACCACCACGCTGTGAATATGTGTCCAAGAAACTGGACTCCTTTTTCAGTACCTAATAGTGAACCTCTCCTTGGACCTTACTGGTCTTCAGCAGCAGCAGGAGGCACTGGAGAAAGCTCTAGGGATCTAACTGTATTCAGCAGCACAATGAGAGGACAGCTCCATGGGATGGATTTCTGCTATCAGCATCAGTTAGGCTGGACAGCTCCCAGGACCTCAGTGTCTCCAGCTCCAGAGACAGGACTTCTCCTGACTACCTAGTTCAGCACCAGGATGGGCGGACAGCTCTGTGGGACGTTCTCCTCTCCATCATCATCCACACCCCTTGCTGAAGGGCGTAGTCTTCTGCACGACCTCTCTTGTTTAATTAATGTGGAAGAGGAGTATTTGCTATTAATTCTGGCTGCTCGCACTGCCTTCATCTGCCAAGGATTTCTGAACAAGCATCTAATCACATAAACACATCTCCCTGGGAATTTCAGGAGAGGAGGAGGGGGTGGGCTGGGGAGGAAAGGAAGCTGAACATTTTTTGGGACTTATTTATCAAAGTCAAGCAAAAAAAAAAAAAAAAAAAAAATAATATAATAAAGTTAAGAGGAAACTGCTCCTGATTTACTATGAAATTTTAAAAAGTATTTTTTTCCCCATGAAAAAATAATGTAAGGTATGTGTTTGCAGTTATACGGAATCATGCAGGCTTAACTTCCTAATTAAAGTAATTGTTTTTATTAATTTTTTTTCTATGTTGTTGCTTCCTAATGTGAAAGGAAACCACAGGGCAATACAAAAGTGAAAAAAAAATAATAAAAAAATTAAATGAGTTAATGGAAAATGTAATAGAAGTAATGCAACATTTAATGTTAATGCTCTATAATAGTATAATAAATGCAAGATATGAACACAGTACATAAGAAGGTATTACAATGAGTTTAATAAATAAAACCCACAACATAAACAGGCAATTTGATTTCTTTTTACTTGGTAACCTTGATGTGTACTCTGGAGGTGAATTAGATGATACTATGTAACTATAGAGGTTTTGTAATCCTGCGCACACACAAGTTTAAGAAAAACTTCTAAAAGTGGAGCAGTCACTATGGAAACCAAAAAGATGCTCATGATGGTTGCATAACTTTTAGAACTTTGAGAACTAGTCTCCATAAACCACCGCCATTGATGTCAATATCTCCAAATACCTCGCTGGCTTTCAGAATTATAAATAGAGAGAAGTGGTGTGGGTAATGGCCTTTGTCAATATAATAAGCCATTTTGTGTTGTATGAACACCACTAATGATGAGGTTATATCTGCTGGATCTTGTCATTATCATTGGTTACATACTGGATTCATTAATTGTATCCAGTCTCAAATGGACAGGTACATAAACACTAGAGCCATTTTATTTAAATGTTCTTCATTCTATATAACCACCTCCAGTCCTCGGACACTTTAGGTACCTAGGTGCCATTGCTAGTATGCATCTGATAAAGAATTATGAAACCCAGATTCATTCATTCAGTTTTGCCTGATGATGCAACATGCAAATATTTTGAAGAAGCTGCCATACTTGGGTCTTCGATAAATCTATCCTATTGAGAAATGTATCACATTATATGCAAGCATGCAATGATCAACATCCCTACGTTATACAGCCATCTTACTGATCTGCTCGTTGCTTCTCATTCATGAATAAAAAACAACACTCGTAAGTGTTAATGGAGGACTTTATTGTCTTCAATTCACTCCTGTGAGTGGGATTCCCTTTAATATGTTTTCATGAATTAGACAATGGTTTACTGTGTGAGTGCATGCTCTGCTGTGTGCTATGCAGCACTATCTCCTACCATTGTGTCTGCTCTGTATAAGCAAAGGTAGATTGAATAATATAGCACTGACATTGACATCAGTAAGATAGCCAGGATTGGCTAAGAGGGCTCTGCCACATCCTATTCTCTACAGAGGATATAGATTTAAAATGGTAAATTAAAAAAAAATGTATTGCATCAAACAAATAGCTTGAAAAAGGTCAAATTAAATTTTTTAAAACCTTTTAATTTTTGTATGTTGCATTAATTTCATAATGCTTTAAAATAAGAAGAATGGGGTACTATGGTACATATTATGGTACATATTAAAGGAACACTAACAAGCCACTATTCATAATTATTTACTGTTCTTGTCCCTAGATACATTGGTCCTCCACCCCTGCGTGTCCCATAAAAATAATATAATAAAGTTTTTTGCTCACCTTTTTCCAGTGCTAAGGCTCCCTCTGTGTTGCTAACCTCTCCACCTTCCACACCGTCATGCCCCCTCTGGTGTGTTTCAATATAATGCTCCTCGTAGAGAAGCATTGGGGACCTGATGTGCATGAAGAACAAGCACCCAAGCTTCCTACAGGAAATCACTGAATCAGTGCTTTCCTATGGTGGCTTCCATGTCATGTGACAAAGTTTTACTCATTGTCTGTCAGTGTAATGGCCACTGGAGGTTTTTTTAACCCTTCAAGGTAATGATTGCTGATTCTGCAAAATGGCAATGTCTTACATTGAAGGGTTACATTGACAGGGCCACTGCCCCAATAACACGTTATTGGGATGAAGAGGTCTGGGTGACTTTAGTTGTCCTTTATAGAAAAGTATTGACCCATATTCATTTACAAAGTTAGAGAAGCCATTTTCTGAGCTACCAAGGTTCCTCATCTAAGAATGTTTGCAATACTAATGTATGCACACCTTCTAAAGCACACTATGGGAAGCATGGCTGTGTGCCAAAATGTAAATGACGTACCCAATCTCACTCCAATCTTCAAAATATCATTTAATGAACACAAAGAAAGCTAACTGACACTTTGGAGCCAAGAAGTATTTTTATTCTCGAATGGTAACACAATTTTACCTTACTTTGGACTCAACAGAAACAAAGAGATGTGTGGATGACTGACTTTGATGGACTTATTTTAATATTTAAAAACGATGTATGTAACTTAAAAGGACAGTAACAAATTTTACCCCCATTCGGAATGTACCACTGTAGCTTTATAGAGAGCAAAGCAGGTAGATCTACTTATCAATATCTTTGAGAAAGATTGTATAAAGAAGAGGTGTTTTATTAAAGGGACACTAATGGTTAGGAATACAAATCTGTGTTCCTAATGCTTCAGGGTCTCTGTCCCCAGTAAAATACAGGTCTCCCCTCCTTCCCATTTGCAATAAAAGTTAAGAAAAAGTTTTTCTAACGTTTTCCAGTGCTGAGGCCCCCTTTGGCGCTGCTCACCTCGCCGCCTCCCACAACGTCATGCAGGAGGCATGGCCTTTAGTGTGGTCCAGTAAAATGCTCATCATAAAGGATCATTGGAACCCAAGGCACATGTGCGGCATGCATTCAATCTTTCACAAAGGAAAGCATTGAATTAATGCGTTCCTATGGGGACCTCCACGATGTGAACAAGTTTTAGTCGGCCAGTACTGCAGAAGCGTCTGTATGACAGCAACTGGAGGTGAATTTAAAGGAACACTGTAGTGTTAGACTACCTATATAGGTCCCCAGCCCCCTCAGACTGGAGATAAAGGCAGCTTTACATGCCTCCATGGCTTAGATCATCAATTTTGATGATCTCAGCAAATCCAATGTTTTCCTATGAAAGCATTGGGAGGCTATTGTGCATGCACGGGAAAATGCCACACTGCGCCAATCAGAATCTCCTCATAGAGATGCATTGATTCAATGCAACTCAATGGGGAGTGTTCACCGCCTCCAAGCAGAACGTGGAGACGCTGAATGTGGGTGCTGCACACAGTACAGCACTGACATAGGAAAGCACCTCTAGTGGTCATCTGAGTGACTGAGTGACTGCCACTAGTGGTGTTACAAGGCAGCAATGTAAACACTGCCTTTTATCTGAAAAGGCAGCGTTTACATTTCTGAGCCTGCAGGGACCGGCTGCAGACACCAGACACACTACATTAAGCTGTAGTAGTTCTGGTAACTATAGTGTCCCTATAATCCTGCAATGCAAACCGTTTTATAAAACTGCAATATTTTACACTGCAGGGATACAAGCATTAAGTGAAATTAAGTGGTCATTTTATGTGCTAAAAATATTAGCAAGACTACACTGTTAAAAGTAAGGTCTCACAGAGGAGAGCTATTTTTTAGGAAGTTACACATGAAACATTGTTGAGTGGTAAAGGGACATACACAATTACAAATGGTCAATATTTTCTTTGCTTCATAGATTACCCAGCACAGTAAGGAGGATTATATTATTTATGCGCATAAACCTGCAGTGAAGAGTCTACACACAACAATTTTAAGAAGAAAGGGGCAGAGAAGAGTCCTCCTTTATCTAGAGAGAGAACCATCGCATAAAAGCAGTTTGAAATTTACTCTAACCTTCTACATATCCTAATTTTAAGTCTACATATGTCTTTAGAATTAAACATTGCAAATTAATTCCCATTGATGACCATAATATTTAATTCATGAGTATTATAAAATATGCTAGCTGACAGAAAATCCCCCAAAAATCAGATTGAGAGGTAAGATTAGATATACATTATATATCAGCTCAGGTGGGTCACTGCTGCACAGGGACAGTCACTTTAATTGAACTGATTTGCCTACTTTAACATTTGGTTGGATGAAGCAAATATCAAAAGAAGTGTTATAACACAGAAGTATCTTTATAAATTCTCGACGCTACATGGTACACTAAATATAGATTTAACATAGTTGTTAAACAAGTACATTTTAAAAAGTATACTGTATATCAAAACCAGGAAATGAACATCGGCTAAAAGAGTGGCAATATATTTTTAATTAGATAAATAGTTACAGTTATTTTTGGAGTCTGCTGTAAAATGCACAGAAATGGTTTCTTCAATGCTTTTAAAGTGACACTTTAATCATCAGAACAACTACTGCTTTATGTAGTTGTTCTGGTGAGTATAATATGTACTTGCATGTATTTTAATGTAAACACTGCCTTTTTACAGAAAAGGCAGTGTTTAACTTGCACCCTAGGGACACATCCAGTTGCCACTCCTTTAGACGGCTGATAGAGCTGTGTAATGGATCCCAATACCCCAGCTGAGTATATCCATGAAGAATCTCCCAAGTCCCAAATGCAGAAGTGATTATAGTGAATATGGCTCCCAATCCCCCCAAACATGAGCCAAGACTTCAAGAAGGGTAAACTGAATTTGTTTAATGGCAGCCACAAATGGCCTTATTTGCAGGTCTCCATGCAAGGGGCACACCCCCCTGGACCTAGACTACAGTAAAAGCATACACATGATTACATTGGCTCTCAGGTCCAGGACACTCCCATATAAAACAGGTCAATCACTCCTCTGTGCCTGGGAGATAATTGAGTTAAGCACAGTATGAAACTCAATTATCTCCAGGCACAGAAAACATACATTTTTACAAAACCTCAAAAATATCTTTAAACACACAAAATACATAATTCACATAAAGGAACCCCCATAGTTTATACATCCCTGGATAACCTGGATCTGAGCACCCAACATATCCGAAAAGTGCGCAGATCCAATGAACACAAGTTTTGACCTACCACTCATGAGACGCCTGCCCAAAATAGTTCCACAGTTTTAGAGGTAGCAGTCGGTCATGTTAAGGAGTTCCAAAATGTATGAAAAGGCAAATGGTTCCCCTGGCTCACTAACGTTTGTTTGTGAGGTCCATCCTAACAAACCTACCGAACAGCGCTCTCCTTGCTTGCCGCGAACAGAAGCAGGCTTTTGCATAGTTTTACTGGTGTTCGCGTTGTCATCCCAAATCCCGCTGCCTGCTTTTGTGCGACAAGATGGCTGCCGTTTTCTCCACCACGTGGTGTTCGGTTATACGAATGGCGGCCACACAGAGAGAGCACTTAATTCTTGCGGGGTATTTGAACTTAATGAGCCAGGTGGTTGGTGTTCGATACTTTATAAGGTGGATAAGGGAACCAAAGTTTAAACAGATTTCAAAAACTGAGGAGGAGAATGGCTCTGGGGAAGGCAAAATAGGGGTTTTGTCAAAAGCTG